GCGTTACGAGCACACACCAAGCAAAGTGGTTTACCCCTAGATGCATTTTTATTTTCTCACCGTGGAAAGAATATGCTAACAAAACAGTGGCCCTGCTGTGGGAAGGTTCCCTAATGATACAAATTGTTGTCTCTGCCAGGTGAGTGCATATTCAGTCCAAGCCCATGGTCTCCAGACATTGCAAGGCTGTCGAGAGAAGTGAAAAGGATTGGGTCACGGGGTGGGGGTGGGGGTGGAGGTGCTGGACACCTGCCCGCATCCTGGGTGGGGGCTTCTGAGAAGCCCTCCCCGGTACACCTGCTCCCTACACCTGGCCATTGTTCACACATCTTCAAAATAAAAGACTGGACCTCAGAGTCCTTTTTGTTTCTTAACTGAGATAAAATGCACATAACATAAAACCAACCCATCTTACGGGCGCCTGGGGGGCTCAGTCGGTTAAGCATCTGACTTCATCTCAGGTCATGATCTCACAGCTCGTGAGTTCGAGCCCCGCGTCGGGCTCTGTGCTGACAGCTCAGAGCCTGGAGCTGCTTCAGATTCTGTGTCTCCCTCTCTCTCTGCCCCTCCTCTGCTCACTCACTCTATCTGTCTGTCTGTCTCTAAAATAAATAAACATTAAAAATTTTTTAAAAACCTAACCCATCTTAAAATGTACACTCCAGTGGTATTTAGCACCTTCACAGTGTTGGGCAACTGCCATCTCTGTCTAGTTTCTGAAACATGGAATCCCTGCCCCCCCCCAAAGGAGACCCCTCTACCTGTTAGGTGGGATTAACATAATCCTTTCAGGGCTCTTTCAATTACATGATCCTTACGGTGCCAAAATAGAAACTCATCTCCTTCAACTCTGTAAAAATACCCTCCAGACCTCAGAGACAGTAGGATTACTCCGTAAATGTAGGACAGGTAAATATTTGTCCTTAACAAACAAATGCCACTGGGGTGGGCAACTGGGATTGCCCTGGCAGGTGATTCCCAGGAAGATCATTGCCCAGCGGCACATGTTTTCCTGCTGTTCGGAAGCCTCCGTGGCTGAGCTAGTCAGTGCCCTCTGCGCAGCCTCCTGGCGATTGAGGCCAGAACTGACTTGCGCACCTATCATTGGATCCAGGACAAGACGTGGCGTTCACACTGCTGGTCTCTCATCACCTTCTGGAAAACTATTGTCCCTTTTTTATCTTTGCCAAGAAAGAGTTATGATTTCCTCTGAGTGCAGATTCCTGAACCGAGGGGCGTTTTTGTGGCCGGCTGGGGGAGGGGGGAGGGTAGCGAAGGGAGGCCATGATCTTGCAGTTGAGAGCCTGAGTTTGGGAGAATGTCCTATTTGCATCCTCTGGGCCTGCACGGTCTTAGGTCCCCAGGAAAGAATTGCTTGTGATTGTGGATTTCCAATGTGCTCTGGCTGAATTCCTTGTTCCAACAAATATCAAGTATGGAAGCCCAATAGGTGCCACCGACGAGGTCAGAGATGCTGTGTGTGCAGAGCTCTGAGCACGTCTCACACGGCCTTCCCCCTGCGCCATGGGGTGGCGCAGTGGAATCCTTCTGGATCCCTCAGAACGCAGTGTGGAAGCTGCCCATCCTGACTCCGCAGGAGGTCCAAGTGCTGACGTGGGTGGTCTTTGGAGTCTGTTTATCAGCCCTCAGGTGACCAAGGGACCGCCCATGTGTGTCTCAGCCAGACTGTCTCCGGCATCCCCTCCTCAAGTTCAGGGCTTCCTTTTCCGCCTTTGACCTGGAAGGTGGCGCTCCCCGCCCCCACGCTCACCTGCTCACACCTTGTGAGTCGTGGCAGCCCCGCCCCTGTTTCCCTGCTGTCTCCTCCACTGCTCTGCTGGGTGCAGGCCCTTCAGGGTCCTGCCCGCCCCCTCCTCGGACCGCAGACCCAGCCTGCGGTGTAACCACCACTACCAAGTGTGCGCGGAGCCTCACAAGGAGAAGTGAAGCACTTACTTTGGGGGTTGAAACTGTTTTTGTCAGTGTCTCTTCTTTCCTTCCCCTTCTTTCAATAAAAAGCAATTTTGTCCGGGCTCAACGTCTTATATGTTGTTAAAAAGAGGAGCAGTTTTGTACCTTAGGACGAAGCTGGTGAAGCCACCCCCCAAAAGTTAGGGGGTCCCTATGGCGTTTACTCCAGAGACGACAAATGCAACTCACATCGGGAGCACAGCAGAGGTCCCCAGCCACCGTCCCCATCCACCGTCCCCAGCCACTGTCCCCAGCCAACGTCCCCACCCACCATCCCCAGCCACACGTCCTCGCAGGGGGTGACCGGGCAGTTTTGGTGGGTCCTTACACCTAAGCCTGGGGAGATGTCCCCATGTCTCTGGCCAGCCCCTCGAGTCCCCTTTGGGGCAGGCTTCCTCCAGGGACAGAGACAAAGCGGGGTCCTGTCAACAGAGGGGTAAGTGAAGCTTGTCCGTCTTCCGCCCCGTGTCCTCAACACCCCAGCTTCCTCTGCAACCCTCTCTTCTAACAAACTCAGCATTTTCAGCTAAATCTACAACCCACATTTTGCTCTGAGGGATGTCAGACAAGGGACGTCAGACAAGGGACGTCAAAAGCCCTTTTCACACTTTGACGAGGGACGGGTGCAAAGGAATGATGCCAGCCTTCCCCGAGGTAAATGTGGGCAATTCAACAACGGCTGAAGGGCATTTTAATTGAGCTGTAGCTACTTCTCTCCCGGAAGACTCAGAGCATAAACACCTTGAATTTATGGGGAGCATTTAGAAATGCAGAGAAGTTCTGGCTTGTCATTCTTGTTTTCAATCTATGTGCACTTTGAGGGAATCAAACCTATTACGGTTTTATCAGCAAAATGGGAATCTCTATCCATTTGGTGAGAGGCACCGCACTGGTATGAATGTGTGTGTTGTGTGTTTATGGTTGTGCATCTGACTGGCTAATGTCACGAGCTCAGAAAGTGTCCCTCAGCTGCTGACCATTTACGTCGTCATTACACTTGAATTGAGACATGACACAAACTTAGGTGGCTGACTGCACCTCTAAGAATGAATTCCAGTGACCTAAACAGGAAATATTTTTAAATAAAGGAAAACCTTTCATATGGTGTTGATCCCGAGAGATTCAATTGGTTGAAGAAGAGTTTAAGTAAATGAGACATAGCAGTGGGTTGATAATTTTGGTGGAAGCTGGTGACGTGTACCTAATGTGGCAATGGGGACAACTGATTGGACACTCTTGATCGGAGATTGCCATTCCCAGAGTCTTGTGGTTTTTAAATGTTTATTTTTGAGAGAAAGAGAGAGAGAGAGAGAGAGAGAGACAGAGTGCAAGCAGGGGAGAGGCAGAGAGAGAGAGAGGGAGGGAGGCACAGAATCCAAAGCAGGCTCCAGGCTCTGAGCTGTCAGCACAGAGCCCGACGCGGGGTTTGAACCCACAAACCGTGAGATCATGACCTGAGCCGAAATCGGACTCCCAACTGACTGAGCCCCCCAGGCGCCCCATCCCAGTCTTGTGTTTGTACAGTTCCTTATAGACACGGTCATGGAATTATCTCTGTACCCCCCATGGTGGAGGCAGGTAAATCCCTACCCACCCTCATCCGAGGGACAGGGCACCCCCTCACCGCGCTGTTGGGTTGCCTGTGGAGAGTCGGGGCCTGGCCCTGTGCTCCTGACTTCTCACCCAGCGCTCTCGAAATGCCAGCAAGCAGCTCCAGAGTTCATTAAATTGGACCGAAGCTCTTACAGCTGGCTAAGCAGATTCTTTACAGCTGTTATAAAGGTCTCATTGCTCAAGGGTAATCTAGCAAAACCACCGAGCCCCCTTCACTCCCCAGGCGCTCAGAATCGCAAGGGCAATGAGAAACGTGTAGTCGTCTCCACAAGTAACTGCATCCAGCCCAGAACTGCTTGGAGAATACACGGAAAGTTCCAGAACAGGGAATGGCACCTCACAAGGGACCCCAGAGCCCCGCTTGCTCATGCTCCAATCTTCCCTCTAATCTCCCAACAGCCAGGGGTTGGGAGTAGCCACTTGGCCTCTCTGTGCCTCGGATTCCTTGTCTGTCCGTAGGCTCTAGCGGGTGGCAATGAGTCCGTTGATGCAAAGCATTTAGAACAACGCTTGCTGTTCACCCATTCAGTGTCCACTCTATACTAGGAACTGTACATACAAAAATTAGCAAAAGAGGCAGAAATCTCTGCCCTTACAGAGATTTATATTTTGGGAGGGTGCCTCCAGGGGACACTCAGTAAGGTTATTCGCCCCCAGTCAGGTCCAACTTCTGCCAATGAGCCACGCGTTCACTCACATTTGGGCACGTTCTTTCCGTAGGCTTTGACTGTGGGGTGACACGTCACCTCGGCCATGTTTGCCAACCAGTGGCCATCGGTACACAGAATGTGCCGCCAGGGTCCCGGGTGCCCCAGAGGAGCGCCCCGATCCCACCTGCCCATCGGTGGAAGGTCGAACGGTTTTACATCAGCAGAGTGAACTGGGTCAAAGTTTAGTCAATCACAAGTTGTGTAAGGACTTGCCTGGGGACTCTGGGACTCCAGGTCCCCCGGCACTCATTAACAGCTATCTATTCAATGATTATCTCCCTGGGGGTTATTGTGGTAAGCCCGTCCAGAAGCACCGTGGACCGTGGCCGGGATCCAAAGTCCTGCCCCTGATGTCAGAGACGAGCCTCCCCGGGGTGTTGCAGGGGGGCGGGGCCTTTCTCCTCTCTGGGATTTAAGGCCGGAGGTCCTGCCTCTGAACAGCAAGCACGGCCTTCCCACTGGGAACGGTTGCCCACCAGCGGGAAGCACCCTTGGATCTGTCACCAAGATCATCCCAAAAGAAGAAAGGTAGGTAGAGCTTTTTACTTCACATGCCTAAAGGGGACAGAGACAACGTGAATTCGTTTCCTCTCCCCCCACCCCCCAGAGCTTCGACTGTCCGGCGAGGTGCCATCAAAGAAGCACACTGAGTTTCTCCGAGGGCATCTGTGACGTTGCTCACGAGGCCCGGGTTTTCTGTTTCAGGGAAGCGTGCGTCCGTGGCCCTTAGTGCAGCCCTGTAGAAATGCCGCCTCAGCTCCCGAACAGCCTCAATTTCTCAGCCAAAGTCATCCAGGGCACCCTGGACAGCCTGCCCCAGGCGGTGAGAGCCTTCGTGGAGAGCAGTGCCAAGCTGTGCCAGCCTGACCACATCCACATCTGTGATGGCTCCGATGGCGAGAACCGGAAGCTGCTGGACCAAATGGAGGCCCAGGGAATGATCAAGAGGCTGCGGAAGTACCACAACTGGTAAGCAGGCCCCAGTGTCCCCACCGCCCCCGATGGCGCCACGGTGCCGCTGGCCAGAGGTGGACCACAGAGCCAAGCGGGGGCTGGGGTGGGCTGTCGATGCTTCACAAACGTAACGAAATGGCCAGAACCAATTCAGGCTTCAGTTTAATGACATTCATAGAGCGGCTCAAGTCTGCACATATGGACACTCTGCGAACTAAACCCCCGATAAAAATGGCGGTCAGACCTGCCCTGTCCTAAAAGACAAGCTGGGGGTCTAGTAGTGTCTCCTCCACTGTGTCGTCCGTGTGCTTGGCACCTGTGAGGTGTGGGAAGAGCACGTAATGAACGGGGCTGGTCTGTTCCTCCCTGACGCGGGGCTGAAGGGAATCCCATGCGCAGAGGCAGTGCAAGGGGTGACACTTCCCGCCTCTCGTTTCTAATCCTTTTTTTTTTTTTTAATTTTTGCAGCTGGTTGGCTCTCACTGACCCCAGGGATGTGGCCAGAATTGAAAGCAAGACGGTCATCATTACGCAAGAGCAAAGAGATACAGTGCCCATTCCCAAAAGTGGCCCCAGCCAACTAGGTCGCTGGATGTCCGAGGAGGACTTTGAGAAGGCGTTCAATGCCCGGTTCCCAGGGTGCATGAAAGGTGAACGAAACATTTGCTTGACTGGGAAATGTCAAATAGAAGCAAAGGCAAACCTTTTGTTATGATGTCCCCTTAATGGTGACCATGACAGCAGTGGGGGCTCCCCTGGCCTCAGAGAGCTTCAAATCCCACGTAGGAAACGGGATGCACCGCACATGCGTGGCTCGGTTCTGGCTTTACAGACTGTCCCCTGCGACCACGACAATGTGGGGACTTGGGATAGCTTGGCCAAACTCAATTTCACCTTTATAAAAACCACTCATTTTTGCATTCTGTTCACTTTCCAGTGGCGTCTTCAAAATTAGGGGGGTGGGGTGGGCAGGTGCTGGTAGGAAGGGCGATGTTGGTGTCGCCCTCTGTGAGCCCGGGGTCATTTCTCACCACTTCCCACCCACCGGCCCCCACAGGTCACACCATGTACGTCATCCCGTTCAGCATGGGGCCGCTGGGCTCGCCCCTGTCCAAGATCGGGATCGAGCTGACAGACTCGCCCTACGTGGTGGCCAGCATGCGCATCATGACGCGGATGGGCACGGCCGTCCTGGAAGCGCTGGGTGACGGGGAATTCGTCAAGTGCCTCCATTCTGTGGGATGCCCTTTGCCTCTAAAAAGTAAGTGTGCGATTTCAGAATCAGAAGTTGCGACGACAGACAAGCTTCGCCTTAAACCCCGGGGCCTTTGCCCTGGGGACCCCCCCTGGGGGGCGCAGCACACGCTCACCGGGGTGTGTCTTCCCATGCAGAGCCTTTGGTGAACAACTGGCCTTGTAACCCAGAGCTGACGCTCATCGCCCACCTGCCCGACCGCAGGGAAATCATCTCCTTCGGGAGTGGGTACGGCGGGAACTCGCTCCTTGGGAAGAAGTGCTTTGCCCTCCGGATGGCCAGCCGCCTGGCCAAGGAGGAAGGGTGGCTGGCGGAGCACATGCTGGTAAGTTGCAGGAAGGTGTGCACACGCCCGCCCGGCGAGGACTTGGGGTGGGGGAGGGGCATGGGCGGAGGTCCAAATGCCGATGCATGTGCAGTTCCCACCAGGCAAGGCCGATGTGTCCCAGGGACAGATTTAAAAATCCCACCAAGGATGATTAATGCTTCTTTTGAATCACTTTAAATGCAATGAGATCAGGAGAGATTGTTCTGACTTTCTTGTTCGCTTTGAGGGGCACCTGGGTGGCTCAGCCGGTTGAGCGTCTGACTTCAGCTCAGGCCACGATCTCGTGGTCCATAGGTTGGAGCCCCGCGTCAGGCTCTGTGCTGACAGCTTGGGAACCTGCCCTCGGGGCTTCTGGGCAAGCTCCCAGACTGAACCACTGGCCACCGGGAGGGACGCGAGGAAGCCGATTAAGGGGGAATCTTGTCCCCAACAGATCCTGGGCATAACCAACCCCAAGGGCCAGAAGAAGTACTTCGCAGCAGCCTTTCCCAGTGCCTGTGGGAAGACCAACCTGGCCATGATGAACCCCAGCCTCCCCGGGTGGAAAATAGAGTGTGTAGGTGATGACATCGCCTGGATGAAATTTGACCAACAAGGTGACTCTCTTAGGCCTGACCGTTGACAATTGCTAATTGTCAGTTGCTAATTGGACCTGGGTGGACTTCTGGCTTTGAAAGCATGCCAAATTCTCCCAAATCCTCAGCACTTGGCTCTTTGAGTCCATTCTTTCAGATATTGCAAAGCCTTAGGGATATGTATTCTGTAAGCATTCTTCAATTTAATATAGAATCTGGATTGAAATGGAGCCATATGTTGCTGCTGGTTTTTACAATAAATTTGTTAAAACACTGTTGGTGGAAACGGGACGAGGAAGACAGGGTTGTAAAAGTGTCAAAGTGGAAAATAATGCTTGGACGAGAAAAGAGAAATCTCTTCTAGGGAAGAGAGGGGGAAAAAAGACTTGAGAATGTGGTGTAAAAAGTAGCCTGGCCAGAGCTAAGAATATCCATTATGTTTTGTTTGGCATTCATGTCTGCTTTTCTGGTTGACCACTTTCCAGGGAACTTAAGGGCTATCAACCCAGAAAATGGCTTTTTTGGGGTGGCTCCTGGGACCTCTGTGAAGACCAACCCCAACGCCATCAAGACCATCCAGAAGAACACCATCTTCACTAACGTGGCTGAGACCAGCGATGGGGGCGTTTATTGGGAAGGTATCGACGAGCCGCTGGCCCCGGGCATCAGGCTCACTTCGTGGAAGAACAATGAATGGACCCCCCAGGATGGTGAGCCCCCTCCCGGGGACCCCAGGGCTCTAGCCTGTGGGCACTGCTGGTTTGGGTCGGATGCTAAGGGGCCCCTCCTCTCTTGATGCTGTAGGGGAGCCTTGCGCCCATCCCAACTCCCGCTTCTGCACGCCGGCCAGCCAGTGTCCCATCATCGACCCTGCGTGGGAGTCTCCGGAAGGGGTGCCCATCGAGGGCATCATCTTCGGAGGCCGCCGACCTACCGGTGAGTCTCTCCTCCGTCTGGTCTGGGAACACGGGTGTGTTGGCTACCAGAGGGCTTGGACGGAATCTCTCCTTTTTCCTGATCTCGCCAGAGGGCGCCAAGGAGCCCCAGCTTCCCCAAATCCAGGGTAATTGGCAAGGCTTGGTCCTTGCCCTGACAGAGCTTTGTCTAAAGTAACTTTCTGCTGCGTGGCCTCGGTGCTGTAACTCTGACAGCGGGTTTGTGCACTTGACTTTGGGAGGACAAAATTAGCTCAAGTAGAAAGATACTGTGCCACCGTGTCTTTCCATTTCGTGAGATCCCACAGCCAGCGAAGCCTTTTAGGGATGTTCCTTTGCGTCAGAGCCTTTAAAGCGGGTGTTCCTTGTCTCCTGCTGCAGGTGTTCCTCTGGTGTATGAAGCTCTCAGCTGGCAGCACGGAGTGTTTGTGGGGGCGGCTATGCGGTCAGAGGCCACAGCAGCTGCGGAACACAAAGGTAAATCTCAGTGAACATCTCCAGCCACAAACAAGAAGGACTGGTGTGCTCTGGCTCTCTGCCTCTGTGTCTCTCTCTGTCTCTGCCTGTTGTGTGTATAGCAAGAGAGAGACAAAACCAAGACATGTCTGTGTCAACAGAAAACGGTGCCAGTGTTGTCCTGTGAGAGCGTGATTTACCAGCGAGATTCCCCTTCTCTGTTCACAGGCAAGGTCATCATGCACGACCCCTTTGCCATGCGGCCTTTCTTTGGCTACAACTTTGGCAAATACCTGGCCCACTGGCTCAGCATGGCCCAGCGCCCAGCAGCCAAGCTGCCCAAGATCTTCCATGTCAACTGGTTCCGGAAAGACCAGGAAGGCAAATTCCTGTGGCCCGGCTTTGGAGAGAACTCCCGGGTGCTGGAATGGATGTTCAATCGGATCAACGGGGAAGCCGGTGCCAAGCTCACACCCATAGGCTACATCCCTGAGGAGGGCGCCCTGAACCTGAAAGGCCTGGGGGACGTCAACACGAAGGAGCTCTTCGACATCTCCAAGGAGTTCTGGGAGAAGGAGGTGGAGGACGTCCGGAAGTACCTGGAGGAACAGGTTAACACCGACCTGCCCTATGAAATCGAGAGGGAGGTGCTTGCCCTGAAGGAAAGAATCAGCCAGATGTAATCAGACCGAGAGCTTTCCCTTTAATATCATCCCCCTTTCCAACCCATGAGATCTACTGGGAGCCAGAGAGAGTGGGGTTTTCTCAGCTGACACCACCTCTCCCACTGTGATGACCATACCGATGAACCGATTCGAAAGACACACTGTAATTTTCCAGATAAGACCACAAAGTACAGGCTAGTAACTATGGGATTGGGAAGGGAAATCTTAGCACGTCTCCAAAATTCACTATCCAGTGCACGGTGGTTCAACCCTAAGGACACCAGGCATTTAGTCTTTTCTGTTCTTATCTCTTTAGCTGTATCAGTTAGCTGGAATGCACAGAGAAAACTACTTGAGCTGTATATATGTGTGTGTGTGTGAGTGTGTGTGTGCACGTGTGTGTCTGTCCATGTGTGTCTGTAGTTCTTGTTATCTGAGATGTATATAATACCTTTGGAAAAATCGTTGGCAAGATTACCTACTAGTTGTGGCTAGAAAGAAATGTTGCTTTATTATTAATATGCGTGCGTGTTTAAATTATTTTTATATAGGCCTTGTTACTTACCTTTATGTGATTTCAATTGTTTCCCCTAACGCTTCTTGGAAAAATTACAAAATAAACTTTTATAGAAAAGATGGATTCATTCGCTTGGTTTTTCTGATTTGAACCACCAAGAAACGAGGACTCTCTGATGAAATATGTTGGGGTCCCAATCCCACCCAAAGGAGGTGGGGTATCAGGATCATCCCTGGGGAGGGAGGGAGATGGGGAGTATGGGGGGGGATAGAGGGGACAGAAAAGAGCCAGTTAGGGATGAGCAAAGAGGATGTCACCCAGAGGTGACAGGGTATCGCACTTGAGGTTTTCTGAGTTACCCACCACGGAGTGTCCGGAAGCCACTGATTAGTGTCTTTTAACACTACAAGCTCGGAAATGAATGGTAGGTCTTGTGTAACCGAGTGGGAGAGAGGTGTTTTTTTTTAATTTTTAAATATTTATTTATTTTTTATAGAGGGAGAGCACGAGCAGGGGAGGGGCAGAGAGAGTGGGAGACACAGAATCCAAAGCAGCTCCAGGCTCTGAGCTGTCAGCACAGAGCCCAACGTGGGGCTCGAACTCACAAGCTGCAAGGTCATAACCAGAGCCAAAGTTGGACACTTAACCAACTGAGCCACCCAGGTGCCCCCAGAGTGGGAGAGTTTAAAATGTGCTTCTTGACAACACTTTGGGTCTGGGGGTTCAGCCTCCCCATTACATTGAAGCCAATTTCACACACTTTGGTCAGTGCACACTTATTGACCAACACTCTTCTCAACTGTCATCCACACGGGAGGAGAGTAGAGAGAAAGCCAAGGGGAGCTCCGTGGCACAAGCATTAATTGAGCATCTTCTGTATACCGAGCAGCCTGCCCACAGTGGGCCGCCCTGAGAAGAGCAGGTGGTAGGGTCTGGCCTCAGGCCCCTGTCCCACACCCCACTCCAGTCTCTGTGTTTGCGGCATTTCTTGGGGATTCAGGAACGGGGATTCAGGAACAGTGCAGACCTGAGGCTGGGTTTGCACATGCACAGTACACGTGCATCACGCAGGTCAGCACGGGATCCCGCACTTGCTGTCTCCCTCTCTGGACGCAGGTGTTAGAGCGGCTCTACCCCCACCCCCTAGCGAGTGGCGTGTTTCAGGTTAATCACGGCACCGTGGCACATCGGCTTTCCCTGCGCGTTCCCCTAAACTCCTTGGTGAATGTGGGAGGTGAGGCCGAGATCACCTCAATCCTATAGATGGGGAAACTGAGGCCAGGCATGTCCCTCAGCTGGGAAATCGCAACCAGAGTTCTCTTTCCCTTTAAAGCGTGGAGAGCTGGCCCAGCTCTCCCGACGACGTGTCGTGTTCTAATACCAAAGCTGCTGATGGGGAAAAACGCCATTTAATGGAATTAAATGTTATCTGCTGTATTAATTTAAATTGGTGGCTTTCAGACTTGTTTTTTTCTTTTCGCTACAGAGCCCTTGCTTGACATGTGCTCTGACGCAGACATCGAGCGCCTGGGGGAGACAAAGCAGGGGGCGTCCACCCCGGGGGTGGGAGGGAGCTGGGACCCAGGGTACCCCGCTTCTGTGTCCCTGCCTGTCTGGTGGCCTCCAGGGTTGTTCCCTGGACCCCTGAGAGGGGCTGCCAGGTACAGTTTGGGCGTCTTTGTTAAGATGTGTGTCCTGGGCCCCAAGGTCCTGTTCTAGGCCTCCAGCAGGCGTCTGGTTAGGTGGCACAGCTGGCCCTCCCGCAAGTCTTCACACTCCTGCACAGCCTCACCCACATGCCCAGCGGACGGCCCAGGAGCATGCCGTCGCCGGGCCCTCGAAGCCTGGAGATCAGCCTGGAGGAAGCATCTCCAACAGAGCAGAAGTTTTCAGGGGACCACAAGGCCTCCACAGTTGCCCTTGGCCCTTGACTTGTTTTCCCCAAACTGCCAGCTGAGTGCTGCGGCCACCTCCACGTCCTGATTTCCGTGCTGGGACCTTATTTGCCAATGTCACCTTGTGGTGGCCCCATCCCCGCAAGGCGGAGAGACAGGCACCCTGGGCCAAGTTGCTTTGCAGGTGCCGATTCCCGGTCAGCGCGGCTCCAGCGCGCAGCAGCCCAGGCCAGCGCCGGGGCCGAGGTCCTCCGCTGCAATCCGCTGCGGGTGCTGTCCCCTGGCCGCATGCGTCCCCGAGCTGTGCCCGAGTCTGGGGTAAAGGCAAGAACGCAGTAGGTACGCGGCAGATACTGAGGTGGGACAACAGACCCGCCTTTAAGCTCACTCGAGGCATCGGGGGCGGGGTGGCAGGTGTCGGGGGGGCGCTGGGCGGGGGCACATTCGGGGGTCGGTGGTTACAGTTCTCACCCTTCTTGCTCTGTCTCCTCAGGCCCACGCTGACCCGGAGCCCTCGGGGTGCCGGAGGTGTAAGAGCAGCAGGCACGGGCCCCGGAGGCTGCCTTCCCTGCTCCCCTGCAGAGAGCACCACATCAGTGACCTTGGCCCTCGCGGTCAGCAGTTGCAGTAAATAGGGCACCAGTTTCCATCATCTATGGGAAAGGGCCTGCGCCCCCACCTCCTGCCTTCCCCCAGGAATAGTAAACACGGACAGCCTTGGACACATCCCAGCTCCGCCTCTGGCCAGCAGTGTCACCCAAAGTGACCCTCATCTGTGTCCTGTGACACTAACATCCCCTCTGGGTCCGATAAGGATAAGACAAAATAGCCCAGCTCAGCGAAGACTTGGAGGCCCAGAGAGTCTGGATGTGAGCCCTCACCCTACCCCCTCCTAGCGGTGTACTCTCAAATGATTGCACAAAACTCTGAACCTCAGTTTCCCCGACTGTTAAATGGGCATAATAACCATAACTTCTCAGAGGGTTGAGAAGGTCAGATGGGAATGTGAGTGAGGGATCTGGCACACAGCGGGGACACATTTGCTCTGCCCTAGGTCTTCTGTGTGGCTATGTTGGCACACGGCAGGGGGGGGAGGGTGGGGAGCTCACTGTCCCCCATGGCAGCTGGCCCCCTGATGACCATCCCTGGGCTCCCAAGGGGCTCCGGAGAGGGCTCTCCCTGGGAAGAACACGGGGTAGCTGGAGGTGGGGGAGCACCCAGTGACCCAAGCAGCCCTCACACAAGGACAAGGACACACACTCACCCAGAGACCAAGGTGGAGAGATGACCAGCCCTACGCTGCCCTCAAGGCTGAACTTCAACATGGCCGGGTTGAAGGTGAGAAGCTGAAGTCACCCCACCTGGCCCTCCGATTGCCCCCGGCTTACCCATTCTGGGATGCGGGGACCCTCAGACCTTCCCACACAGCTGGGGGGCTCCCAGACCTGGGTCTGGTCATTGCCCGCTGCCGGTGGGGCCTTCCTCCCCCAGGGCTGATGCCCTAATGCCGCACAAACTCTCACCCAGAGCTTTGCTGCCAGCCGGGAGCTGGGCCAGGGCAGAAGGCACCCTCGAGAAAGCCCTGAGTCAGCCGACCTCACCCCAGGGAACTACCATAAATCTTCCTCCCGGGGTAAAAAGGGAGCTTGGGACGGGGACGAAGTCCAGAGGGAGTAAAATAGAGAAAGTGACGTTCTTCTGCTTTTCTCAAGTTTTGCTTTGAGTTTTCCCACCCACGCTTGGACAGGAAGCAAGGGCAGGGGCCCCTTGGGGAGATTCCACACGCGAGTTCTCGCCGAGGACCACCCCCAGGACCGCCGTGCAGATGACAGCATCCCCGCGGGATGTTCTCTGTGCCGTCCCCCCCCCCCCCAGGAAGTGGGACAGAGCCCAGAGGTTTCTCTGATGCGCAGAGCCGGGATTTGGGGCTGCCGCGGAGGAACACGGGACGTCATTGGTCCACACGCAGCACCGTGGCGGCCCGGGGACACATTTGCTTCGCGGACACCTGTCACCGCCACCTGCCCGGCGCCCCGCGGCCCCCTGGTAACGGGGTATGTAGATGTGCGAGTGCCCAGGTGCATCAGCCCGCACGGCGGAACCTTTCTCCAGGCGAAGCAATTTGCAGCAAAATATGCTGTAAATATTTGTTCAGCCCAGGAAAATGACTTTAATTGCATAATTAAACTCGTGGTAGGTGCTGCTTCCAGACAAAATGACTGCGGAGAAGCTGAGACCACAGACGTCCCTCTGAGTTCATTGAACAACGGACTAAACATTTGCAGAGACTTTGCTCTGAGCCTCCCCCCCCGCCCCTTCGTGCAATGGGGGTTTTGAGAGCAGTCATGGAGGTGGAGGAAGGGGTTTGGTGGCTGCTGGAGAGGGAGGGCGAGGGAGGGCGAGGGAGGGCGAGGGAGGGCGAGGGAGGGTGAGGGAGGGTGAGGGAGGGCGAGGAAAAGTTCCCCAAATCAGAGAACCAACAGCAAACGGACCCTCAGGACAGGGGGTGCAATGTGTTTTCCAAAAGTTCTAGTGAACGTTCCACCTCCCATGGATCACTGGTAACTTGAGCAAATGATCGAGTCACTTAATTGGAAAAAAATAAGTAGGTTGAAAGAAGTTTGTTCTAGAAGAAAATAGTGCCTCCCAACCACTGATGAAAAACCAGCATTTCTTGCTGAAGGAATCACATCAATACAACACATAGTGAAAGATGTCAGCCACAAAGAACATGGCCGCTGTGTAATTCCGACTGATACTGTTTTTGAAAAAAGCTTTAAACATTTATTCAGTTTTGAGACACAGAGAGAGGCAGAGTGTGAGCGGGGGAGGGGCAGAGAGAGAGGGAGACACAGAATCCGAAGCAGCTCCAGGCTCTGAGCTGTCGGCACAGAGCCCGACGCGGGGTTTGAACTCATGAACTGCGAGATCATGACCTGAGCCGAAGTCAAACGCTCAACGGATTGAGCCCCCTGGGAGCCCCTGTATAATTCCGTGTTGAGTCAATGTCCAGCACAGGCAAATCCAGAGATAGAACTTGGATTTGTGATTGCTTGGGGTCTGGGACGGGGAGGCACCAAGAACGAGGAGTGATGGCTACTGGGTACGGGCTTTGTTTTCGGGGCTCTGAGGACACTCTCAGGTGAGATTTCCA